TTCTAGTTCGAGGCCAGTCTAGGCTGTTTAGGAAGTACCAGGCCAGCTTAAACTACAGAAGGAGACTGTGTGTTATTTTTAATAAAATATTAGTAATGCCTGTCCTACCAGGCTAAGTGGTTATGGTGTGTGTTCCTCTGCAGAGCTCAGCACCCGTGTGAGGAGGCTCACAATCAGTAGTAAATCCAGACTGGACACACACCCTCTTCTAACTTCCGTGGGTTCCTACACACATGTGACACAGGCACATACATATATACACATACATATAAATTAATCTTTAAAACCCTGACTTGGTAACCTCGGTGTTCATGCCTTGCTCATCCTCTGTTTATTTTAAAACAAGGCAACGCTTTTTGCAATGAATCCATTCAAAACCATCCCCCTCCCATGTGACCGTTTTGGAGGTTTCCAGATACCTTTATCCACACTTGGAATAAAAATATTGACTGACCAACATGACCTACTCCTTCTCAGAAACCATTGAGCCAGTTCCCGTGCCAAATGGACTCCATGAAGACAAAGGCCACGTTTCACCTGGACTTTTAATTCCTCATCTTAGCCTACCAGGGATGAGAGAGCAATGACGTCCAGTGTTGCCAATGAGGAAACTGGGTTCAGAGAAGCCAGACACCTTCCCCAGCCCACAAGCCAGTGAGTTGGAGAAACACTGTTTCAGTCCAACCTGGCCCAAACTGTTATTTTTGTTGCATCAAACGCTGAGTATCCTCAGGGTTTACCAGTAACTTCCTCAGAAAACAAAGGGTATATTGTTACTAAACTCTCTGGGTTTTGCTGGAGAATGAGGAAATAATCAGTTATCAATTGCCTGTTATTTGCTTATTGGGTGCTATTCAGCAGAAACAGCCTGTGTCATGTGTTAGAGGAGGGATAATCAACAAAAAGACAGCAGCTTACAATTCCGAGATGTAAGTAACTGGGCAGAAAAACACAGGAGAAAAGCCATAAATATTATGGCTTCAGTGATCCAAGAGTCCGTTTTCTATAGTTATGAATTCCATGGGCAGTCAGATTCATGCCAAGGGCCTGCTCCTGTCACTTTCAGAAAAAAAAAAAAAAAAAAAAAAAAAAACCCTGCGGAACAAGTCCGGTTTTCTGGAAGCTTCACTGTGACTTCAAGCGAGGGGAAATTGACTCTGATGTATGCGCTGTTGAATGACTGAGCTTAGCTTTGTCCTCACTCGTCTACTTCAGCTCAACTCGACTGCACAGTTTGCTAAACCAAACGACGTGACGTCAGCTGCTTGGATGGCCCAAGGCAAGAAGATGGCAAGTTTGAGCCCAGCCTAAGCAACTCAGTGACACCCTGCCTCAAGACAGTTAAAGATCTAGCGACCTTGTTCAGCGGAAGAGTGCTTCTCTGGCGTGCATGAGGTCATGTCTCCAAAGCCCGGCACCACAAACACAAATTAAACTGTTTAAGTGAGCACAGAAATAATGATGGCAACACCCGCCTTCCGTGTAGCTTCAAAGAGCAGGGCCTGCTATACATGCACGCCGCACGGTGAGTTCCTGCACGCCTCATTTTGCTAAGGGCTTTGTCTGCAGGGTCCTCACAGGAGCCTCTGCTGCTACCGTCCTCATTGCTCTGATGTTTGCATTTGGCTGCGGTGTTGGTTCCAACACTCTCTGCTCAAGAAACGAAAAGTCAGCCCTCTGACTTTCCACAGTCAAAAAAGTGGCTCTGAAACTCTCGCCCTAGGGCAGTCAAAGTTTGAAGCTTGAAGCTGTATTGCCAATCCATATATTTAAGAGTTTTGTGTTTCCTAGGACAGAGGATCAAGCCTTTGCCTTCCAACAGGTTATACCACACACACGTGCAAACACACACACACATATAAGCATATACACTCACACACTGCACAAGAGCATACCACATACATGCACACATACACACACAGAGAGTCATGTGTGGCTTCATAGTAGAAAGACTAGGGTCTAATTAATCTCTTCAGGACTTGGCTAGGACTCCTCAGAACCACAGAGGTGGCTGGACCAGTCTTGGAGATGAGGTTGGCACTTAGGAGCCACTTCCAGATTCTTCATCTGGAAATCCTGAAAGGACCCCTGGCTGCATGGCTCGCAGAGGCTATGAAATGAAGCAGGCATGAAGCCAAGGGAGAAGGATGAGTCCCTGAGACTGCACAACATAACTGTCTGGTGTTATAAGCCTCTTCAAGGACTGAGGAATGTTCTACTCAATGGACTTTCAGTGAACTTCATGCTTTCTTTCCACTTCCATCCAGGATAGCAATGGCTGGGGACTTTCTCCAGTGCACATGAGACACAAATTTCCATGAATAGCCATTTTCTTTCATGAATATGTGTATACTCCTACATATAGACTGACTAGTCATCTCCTGGCCTCCTAAGTATCTTTTTTGGAATACATGAAAAAATGCAACCCTAGCTAGGAGTGTGGCACATGAGTTTACTACCAGCACTTGAGAGGCAGAAGCAGGAAGATCTCTGTGAGTTCAAGACCAGCCTGCTCAACATAGCAAGTTCCAGGGCATCCAGGGAGACGTAGTGAGACCCTGTCTCAAAAACAAAAAGCACTAAAGTTCCTGCCATTGGTCATGGTCAAAGAGGAAATGAAGGAAAGGAAATGTTCTGAAAAGAAGGGGGAAGATATAGAAATGATAGAATAAAAGGATAGATTACTGAATCTACTTTCTTTTTTTTTAAGATTTATTTATTACATATAGTGTTCTGCTTGCATTATACTTGCAGGCCAGAAGAGGGCACCAGATCTCATTACAGATGGTTGTGAGCCACCATGTGGTTGCTGGGAATTGAACTCAGGACCTCTGGAAGAGCAGTCAATACTCTTAACCTCTGAGCCATCTCTCCAGCCCTGAATCTACTTTCAAACAAACAAACAAAAAAAAACTAGTCTCAAATTTTTACATTTGTATGGATTTTTGTATATTGATCCAAACTAAGGTTATTTTGTCATACTGTATATATGTTTCTACACTACGTCATCTGAAACTTGTCTCCTTCTTGAGCACACAAAATAAAAGCAGAACAAGGAAAAATAGCTCACTGGCTGAACTAGGAAGACAGTTGCCACACATCAGTCTTTACAGCATCCAGACACTTTCAGAAGAGATGCTGAAACAGACCCTCCCTCTAGGGATGTCCTTTTCCATCACCAACAGCACGAGACCACTTACACCACACTCTACGCCAGATACCCAAAGGAAAGCATTCTAACCCCACCCACCGCGGGAAAGACATTGTCGTTGAAGGAAGAGTTTCAATAGTCTCACATAGGCGGTGCTCGGCATGGTGGAGCAAACCTGTCATTCTAGCACTCTAGGGATGGAGTCAGGGGAATGAGGAGTCTGAGCTAGCCTCAGCTATGAGACACTGTTTCTCTCATGAAAGCGATAGAAATAAAGATGCACGTGGATGTCTATGCTGAAGAGTCAGGCTGGGTCAGAAACTGCCGGGTGTGAATGTCGCTGGGACCGCTGATGTCTGTGACAATGGGCAGGGAGTGTGTTTAATTCCTTAAGGGTGGGGGGATGAGGCTGCATCTGCTTTCAGCTTTTGTGTTTTCCACATGGAGCTGAGGTGAAATTTTAAATAGAAATTTGGGCGCAAAATTCCTATTTTGTCACAAGCTCTCAAAAATATAGCGTATGGTACCTTCGTACAGTATCTGGCTTGCACTACATTCCATATAATAAGATGTATGTTTCATGAACACCCAAAAGACTATGTAAATTTATAGCCGTGCCCTATGTACACTGCAGTGCGTATTTGAATTGGTCTAGTTAGTAGATTACATCTAAATCATTATTTATGTATAGCTACTGTTTTTGATTCACCCTAGCCTCTTAGAACAAATTTGAAATGACAGTACTGGAGCCCAAATCACAAATCACATTGCAAAAGAATTTTTTGGAAACAGCAGATGTTTACAGAAGACTTCACAGGGAAACATTGCGAGTGCCTGGGTCACAATAACCCTAGGTCAGGTGACTGGAAAGCAGGCAGAAGGAAGTCTGACTCCTGCCTGGGTGCTGGTGGCTTTGCACTGGGTCAGCAGGAAACAACGTGAGTCACTTGGAACCAGCAAAGAGCAATTTCCTTTCCAGAATTAAGAAAGTGAGTTCTGTCCTATTGTAGCCAGCCACAAAAGCGCGATCACGTCTGTGGGTAGCTCCGCTTGCTTTAGGTGAACTTTAGGTGGGGAGTGGGGTTCTAGGGAATCTGTGGGCGCCTCTGCTCTGCACAGGGTGGGTGGATCGCCAGAAGGAAAGGCTTAGGGAAAGGGAGGGAAGCTGTCCAAAGGAAACTAAGCCATGCCCTCCAGCGCATTCCTCAATCTCCAGAAGAGTTAACGCCACTAGCACCCTTTATTGATGGAACTGCGGACACACACCTATGTACCACGCATTGGTTTATTCAGTTCCCTAAACAATCCTCTCTGAAGCATCTAGGAATCTGGTAAAGAAATTCTGCAAACAGTACTGGACTTTCCTGCCTAACTTAAGACCCACGGTAAGAAGGTCACAGCCTCCCTTTTGATGCGTTCTATACTAGTCTCAAGTCCCCTCCTCCTTTAGGCGCTCAAAAAGGCAACTTTTGTCCAACGGTAGTCCAGCTCAGGTTGCATAAACCTGTCTCCCGGGATGCTGGAAGAATCCCGCTCTCCACTCGCTTGGCAGGCGCTGGCAGCCTTACGGGCTGTCCTCGGGGACCTTGCCCGCCCTGCGTGGCGATTGTGCAAGCGCAGCTTCGGGCAGCTGCAAGGCCAGCTGCAGCCTGCAGGAGGGCAGGGAGGCGCGCTCGCAGCGCACTCGCTGAACCCTGGGCTCGACGCGCCTTGCCCGGGTTATCTCCGGGGTGGAGTCCACGGTGCGCAGCCCAAGGTCACCCTAGGCCTTGGCGCCCTCATTCACCTTGCTGACTCCATCCTCTTCTCACTCCCGTCCCCCCCTCCCCGCGTCCCTCCCAGCTTTGCCAGCAGGTCCCCCTCCGCCCTACTCAGCATGCTCATTGGCCATCCCAGCATGCCCTACATCCATAAATACGAGGTCCCTGAGTCTGGGAGCTTTAGGAGACACACCGAGGTACATCCGACCTGGCGGCATCTCTTCTACCCTCCTTGACACCCTGTGGATTCAGACGGGAGAAGTCAAATTTGGAGACCCACAGAGGACTCGACTCAGAGCTACCAAACCTCGGCTGCTCTTCTCCAGCCCCTGTGACCAGCTCAGGGCAGGCACCTGTGCCCTAAGCCGCTGAACTTTGCAGCATCCCTGGACATCTGCCTCTTGGAAGTCCCTCCTGCTCTATACCACTCCACCACACCGGATTCTGTTTGCCTCTTTTCCCAAATCACCAAGACTTCAGAACCCAACACCACCTCCAAAACACTTTACTCTTCCTCATAACCCACGTGTCTCCTGCTACTATGAGCTGCCCCATTGACAAAAGGCGTTCTCTGATTGCCTTCCTGAGCCGGCTGCGGGACCTTGGGCAGCCCCCTAGAGGAGTGACATCCAAGGCGTACGCTTCCCGAGAGCCAAAAGAGGTACCCCTCTGCCCGCTGGTGACAGGTGGTGAGAGTCGGGACGCCACCTCCCTGCCTGGACCAACCAACTGGCCACTGCTAGGCAGTCTACTCGAGATTCTTTGGAAGGGTGGCCTGAAGAAACAGCATGACACTCTGGTAAATAACTTGTCACTCCCCCCTTCCTTCCCTATTCCTTCGGGTCGGAGTGGCCAGGCGGGGGTGAGGGGAAAGGAAGCTCACTCAGGTGGCCCGGCAGCGGCTCAAGGAAAAAGCTCCCCCAGCACCAAAGGGTGCGTGCTGATGGCATTAGGCCCGCCCCTCTGCAGGTAGAGTACCACAAGAAGTACGGCCAGATTTTCCGGATGAAGCTGGGCTCCTTCGACTCGGTGCACCTGGGCTCGCCGAGCCTGCTAGAAGCTCTATACCGGACGGAGAGCGCGCATCCCCAGAGACTAGAAATCAAACCCTGGAAAGCCTATCGGGACCACCGCAACGAGGGCTATGGGCTGCTGATCCTGTGAGTGTCCTCCGCGGGGTGGAGACGGTGGGGGCCAGGACATGCGGGGCAGTAGGGAAGCGGGTAGAGTTTCTTAGGGTTGGACTTTTCTTATGCAGAACGAATGCAAAAGCCCCTGCTCCAATGTGTGCAATCCTCAAATTATAGTGCAGACGTGGGTCTCCCCAAAGAGCCTTACAATGAGGGGGATGCACACATACCTGCCTCCCCACTAGGACATAACTAAAGCTCCAATCTCTTTTAATTTAGCTTCATGTTCCTGGTATAAATATGGGCAAGATTTAACCCTAATGTCAAATCAAGTGTATATAATGTATATAATATATATGTATCTACACATATATAATTTCTGGTCGCTTTCATCATGCGTCTTCTCTTTGATCCCCCCTCTCACTCCCGGGGAGACTCTACCCGGTCCCAACAACTCCCCATCCAATTTTCATGTCTCTTTTGTTGGTGTTTATGATTCCCTGAGGTTGCTTGCACGAGCATGGGTGGGGTTATTTAGAGCCCTGTCAACTTGATAGGAGCCTATACTACTGAAGAAAAATAACTATCCCTCCCCCATCGACCATGAACAGCCATCAGCTCCCCCAAGGAGCAGAGGGATGCTGAGAGCCCCTCTCGGGTCCCTAATGGACAGCGGCGCATATTCAAAGCGTGCTAAAATTCCTGAGAATTTTCCTGGCGACCTGCAGGGTTAGCTTACACTCTTTCCGGGCGCCCTAAACGCAATCCGTCTCCGCAGGGAAGGAAGAGAGTGGCAGAGGATCCGCAGCGCCTTCCAAAAGAAACTGATGAAGCCGGTGGAGATCATGAAACTGGACAATAAGATCAATGAGGTGTGTGCGTGGTCCTAGGGTCAGCTTTCCCTGGGCTCTCCAGGACAGAGAGCTGCCGGTTAGTCTTTGGGTCACAACCTTTGAGGGGCTTTTGCAGTCAGAATAGGTGCACAGAGGCAAGAATGAGGGTACCAAGTGGGAAGCGCTCCTGTAGGCTAGTCTTCTGACAATGGAGAGGGATGAAATGGGATGATGTGTCCGGAGAGTTCACATTCCATGCCAATGGATGGTCCGGAAAAGATCCCCGACAATGGGCAAACCTTACCCTTAAGAACGACTTTATACCGTGCTAACGGACTTTAGCAACAGCATTGAACCAACAGGGGGGCATGCAGTTGTGGTCTCTTCTTATTCTTGTTCACGTTGGAGGTTGATTTGAGTTGGACCTGGACCCAGATGGGCTCCATACAGCTTAGGAACTCCTAGAAGCCGGATAATTAATATAACACAGTAATGCAAGCCCCAAGTCAGACATTTAGCAAGCTGCATAGTTAAGCCTTTTCTTTTTTTTTTTTTTTATTTATTATGTATACAGTGTTCTGCCTGCATGTATGTATCCCTGAAGGGAAAGGGCACCAAATCTCATTACAGATGGTTATGAGCCACCATGTGGTTGCTGGGAATTGAACTCAGGACCTCTAGGAGAGCAACCAGTGCTCTTAACCTCTGAGCCATCACCCCAGCCCTAGTTAAGCCTTTTCTAGAGGGGCTATCTGCTCCAAACCCAGCTAGCTATTGTCATGTGGTGGTACACACCCAGGGTCATCTTGTGGTGGTAATAGGGATGTGTTAATAAGCCAAGTTGTGGAAATCCATACATGATGTGAAATCTCTTGGGGTTTTTTTGTTTGTTTGTTTTTCCTTTTTCTTTGAGACAAGGCCTCCCCGCATGTAATCCCTACTGGCTTGGAGTTTTCTATGTATACCAGGCTTGCTTCAAACTTATATAGATCCACCTGCTTCTGCCTCTCTAGTCTTGGGTTAAAGGTGAACCCCCATGCTCAGCTTTCCTTCTTTTTGCTTTCTTTTTTTCTTCCCTTGGCTTTTTTATATAAAATTCAAATTACTTTTAAATGCATCGCATAAGCAAGCTAAGCATGCCCATATGTTACCTGCAGGCCTCCGACCATTCACCCCTTCTCTCGGGTATAGCTTAGCAAGTCTTCAGTTATTTGGACAAGGGACATAGCATCTCTGAACTGTTTCTCATCTGTGATGTGTAAAATATGAGCAATGGCTGTGTCTCCTGCCTTGCAAGGTTGCAGTGCAGGTCAGCTAAGATAGCACACTTTATAACCACGTATGGTCCCTGACACACTTCATAAGTGTGAGGCCTGAGTCACCTCAGGGTCTGGTTTTGGAGTCCAGCAGCTAGAGGCCTTGTATGACTGTCCCAAAGTTGCAGCTCTATCTACTGAGGAAGCGATGTCCAGAACCTGTAGCTTTCCTGGCTCCAAACTCCACATCACACAAACAGCTGATGGGAAGACAGGCTTCTGCCCAGATGTGGAAGTGCAGCGTGGAGATGCGGCTCTCAACTTCACCCCAGTCCCTGAGCCGCTGTTCCAGTTAGTCTGACTCCGCCCTCGGGGTTCACCCACCCAGTCTGCCCACAAAGTATGCTTTTCTTCTTAGAGGATCAGAACCAGAGCTGGGGAGATGGCCCAGCCAGTGAAGGGCTTGCACTCTTTCATGGAGACCTGAGTTCAAACCCCAGAACCGGTGCACGTGTGTGTACTCCAATCATGGAGTTCAAATCCCAGTACTGGTGTCTGCGGGAGTGGGGGTAGAAACAGGAGGATCCCTAGGAGCTCATTGGCCTGGCTGGTGAGTCACATTTCAGAACTCCAGGTTCAATGAGAGACCCTGTCTCAAACAGTAGGATATGGAGCAACAGAAGTAGACACCAAATGTCAACCACTGCCCTCCACACGTGAGTGCTCACCCCCACACACACACACACATACACACACACATACATACATACATACATACATACATCTCTCTCTCTCTCTCTCTCACACACACACACACACACACACACACACACACACACACGTGAACATAAGACAATTGCCAGAAATACCCTTAAGATGAGCCTGAAGCTTGAGTTTCTGTGGCGACAGGAAGAGCTTAGGAAACAGTGAGGGACAGACCTGGAGAAGGCAGTGTATAAGTAGTGCCAGTCACCACCAACAGCAGAGATACCCTCCTGAGCTCGAACTTTCTCTGTCCCTTCAGTGACATAAAGATGTATCTTTCCTGGTTGCTTTCTTTCAAGGTCTTGGCCGATTTTATGGGGAGGATAGATGAGCTGTGTGACGAAGGAGGCCGCATCAAAGACTTGTACAGTGAGCTGAACAAATGGTCCTTTGAAAGTAAGTTGACTTTGTAGTCTTGTTCGTTTAAGTTTGCAAGAGATCTGGGGGATGAAACTGAGCTCTTTTTACACTTCCATAACGACAGATGGACTAAGCCATGCAAACCCGTTTTAGTTATGACCTGTAATATAGGTTGTTTATGAAGTCATCCAACAAGCACTTATTAAACAAATCCTATATGCCAGGCACTGTTAAGTATTAGGGACATGGCGAGGGACAAAGTGGACCGTGTCTTTGGTGTCACAACCTACAATTCTAGAGTGACAGATACAGGACATTTAAAGGACTAAAGAGCAGACTGTGGGCCTCGCATGGACCTTGCTGAGGGGAGTCCTCTCCACCAAGGAGACAAAAGTCAGGAAAAGAGGAAGTTGGAAAGGCCTCTTTGGATGAGAGTTCCAGACAGTGGAGCCGGGAGTGTAAAGCCCCCGCCCAGGCACAGTGTATGCTCTTAGCGTGTTGGCTGGAGGAAAAGCAACAGCAGCTGCCCCTCCCGAGCGCTGGGGGGTAACTAAGCAGAAAAAGGTCCGTGTGCAAACGCGAAGACCTGAGTTCAAATCTCCAGAACTCACACCAAGTCAGACACAGGAGCACAAGTCTGTGATCCCAGTGCTCCTGTGGCAAGATGGGAGGCAGGGGGGAGGGAATCCTGGGAAGCTCCCAGACCAGCTAGACTGGTGTATGAAATCACAATCCACAATAAGGTAGCTCAGGCCTGTAGTCCTAGCATTGAGGAAACTGGGGCAGAAAGATGGACATGAACTCAAGGCTAGCCTGGGCTACACAGCAATATCCTGTCTCAAAAAACAGGGGAGAAAGTTTATTTTCCTTTATCAAAAAAATGGGTCACGTAGCTACTGAAGCTGTCCTGGGGCCTCAGGATTATTATCAAAATTCCAGATCCACCTTGATTTCTTGCCTATAGACCTGATTTCTTACCTGGATGCCCTGGATAAAACTGGAGTTGTCTTAGGGGAAAAGCACTGTATAAGTCAGGGGTAAACTGGGGTAAGAGCAAGAGAAGAGTTGACCTTGTCCAAACAGCAGCTGCATTTGCGCAGGCGTACAAACTTTGTGGCATGAGTTTGCAGTGTGCACCCAAAATAACGCCCACCACTGGGAAAGCAGCTCTTCCTGGCTGAATCCACCCCTCTGCCTTGTCTTCAAAACCACAGGGATGTGCGAGGGGGTCAGAAGCGCTGTGTCCGCGGTGCCATTCCATGCTGATAAGTCCAAAACCCTGTGATCTCTTAAGTACCTTTCCCAGAGGGGACCAGCTAGTTATTAAACCTAGGTGTTCATGAACAAGGAAGTTTGATGTTGATTTTACTGTAGTTTTTGTGGAATGGTCATTTTCTAAACGATCTTTATCCATTCATGACTCTTCCTATATAGGATTTACCATGACCACGTAAGCCTTTGTATTTAGTAGACTGTCAGGGAACATTCCCAATCACTGATCTAAGTTTACCTGGAAGGGAAACAGTAACGCCTCATAACTTCAGGATCAGCCTCACAGTTGTGTGCATGGCTGTGAGAATAAGTGGCAGACACTGCTTCACAGTCAGGGGACATCCCAGAGCTGTGCCACAGGCTCTTGGTGGCACCCAAGCCAGGCCTTGTGGGATAAAAAGGCTACTGAAAGCTTAAACCAGATGCATTCAGTCAGGAAAGTCAACAGTTACAGAAGGTACCCTTTAAGACAAGTGGGGGGCTTTCTAAACAACCACAGAGTGGATCTGGTAAAGAACGGGTCAAGCTCTCAGGGACATTAGTAATGTATCGCGGCCATGTAGGACAAAGCCGTCATTCTTAGATTAATGCTATGGTACAGATGCAAAGCATCGTGGGAACTAAACACTGTTGCACATGCTGCCACCCACACCAACCCACATACATCCCCGTGTGGACACACAGTCAAGGAGAGAGGAATTAAAACAACATGTTCACTCACCACATCTAATTCAGGGGACGTGGGTATCCTAGAATTCAAATTTTCTCTATGTAAAAAGTTTTAAAGACTAAGGAATCTTATTTGAAAATAGGTTGAGCCTAAACAACATTGTTAAATGGAAAAGAGAACAGAGAAACACTTGTCCTATGCTGGTCCAGTACCTGGAAGGTACTGGGAACTTAGTCCCTAGCTCAGCTTTTTCCAACCCTCTTTCTCATGGTGACTTCCGGTAGCCTGAGTTTGGCAGCAGAAGCCAATAACTACTCCAACAGCCTGAGTGAAAGTACCGCAGGTCGGGCTGGAGAGATGGCTCAGTGGTTAAGAGCACCGGCTGCTCTTCCAAAGGTCCTGAGTTCAATTCCCAGCAACCACATGGTGGTTCACAACCATCTGGAATGAGGTCTGGTGCCCTCTTCTGGCCTGCAGACATACATACAGACAGAATATTGTATACATAATAAATAAATAAATATTTAAAAAAAAGAAAAAGAAAGTGGCGCAGCTCTCTGAGCCAGTGATACACCTCTGTCCTTACCTCCCTGTGACTGATGTGGACAGTGTGTCTCTCATCAGGATGGGAAGCTCATGGATCATTTGCTCCCAGAAATGACGTCTCGAGGCAGAAGGGAGTGTTTCTGGCCTCCTTTCTCACTCTTTGAAATGTTGGTTTCCTTCCAGAAGAGACCACAATGTCATGAGACACAGGACTCAGTCTTTAATAGCCGGCTAATCATAGACTCTGGTGCGCTACAGTTAAATAACAGTAGCGATTATTCCCAATGACAGGCATCTGCCTCGTGTTGTACAAGAAGAGATTTGGGCTCCTCCAGAAGAATGCTGAGGAAGAAGCTCTGACCTTCATTACGGCCATCAAGACGGTAAGCCGTCTCTCTGGGCAGCCTAACAGAGCTTGTCCCTGCGTCTCCCACGGAGGAGTGTACACACTTACATATTTTCATAATTAGTCCATTCACTTTGATATCTATATTTTAATATATATATGTGTGTGTGTACCCATCACAAACATACAAAAAGCCTATTATTTATCAGTCTAAGCAAAGTTATTTTACTACAAAAAAAATCATTTTAAACTTACTTAAGGTGTCTCAACTAATGGCCACTTGGTTCAAAGGTTACCTTTTTAAAGTTTCAGAATGTTTCAGGCTTTACAGTTTTCAATAGTGTGATAACTTGAGATATCATAGACGCAGTGAAATTGATTTGGGATTAGCTAAGGATTCTGTGGTATTCAGAAGCTGGACTCAATAGACAAATTATAGCTTTCCAGTTCTTTCTTCTTCCTTTGCAATTAGACCATATAAAAACTGGGGTGGTGGCACAGGCCTGTCATACCAGCCGCTTGGTCGAGATGCTGAGGCAACATAATTCCACGTTTGAAACGGGTTGGGACCACAGAGTGAGTGCAAGGGCAGCCTAGGAATGTAATGATCCTTTGTCTCAAAATAATAAAGCAAAAGGAATATAGCTTAGCTCTATAATGGATGCCTTCTTAGCAACCAAAAGGCCCTAGGTTTGATTCCTAATATAAACCAAATGTGTGTGTATGTGCGTATATGTGTGTGTGTTTGTGTGCATGTGTGTATATGCATGAATGTGTATGCATCAGAAGGGTCATGAGACTGATACTCTTCATTAAACACAGAGTACAAAGCCATCTTTGAGATATGAGGGAGCTGGAGGGCCTTTGAACCCCACCCTTTGGAGATGCAGGAGTCTGATTTAGGATCCTCCCCCTCCAAGAGAACGCTGGCTTAGAGAGAAGAATGCAGGGTCCAAGTTCTTGTGTTTTTCCAGATGATGAGCACGTTTGGGAAGATGATGGTGACCCCCGTGGAGCTGCACAAGAGCCTCAACACCAAAGTGTGGCAGGCACACACTCTGGCCTGGGACACCATTTTCAAATCAGGTAAAAGCCTCCTTTCCCACTTCCCACGGCAATCCAGTTGTCCTGACCCTGTGCCCAGGACAGGCCTCGTGTGATCTACCTGACTGGGTTGTCATGATCTTCCCATGGCCATGCTTCTGCTCCTCTCTGCAGCTTTCCAAAGTCACAAGCATAGCGGGGCGGGGGAAGGGCAGCAAGAAGCAGCTTTCTGTCACCCACTCTGCCAGCTGAAGGTGGCTCAAGGAAGAGTTTCAGAGACAGCCTTGAGTCCGTGTGTGGTGGCTTAGGCCTGTGTGTTACCACCTTTTCATCTTTGATTGCTCCATCTTTAAAATAACAAATGACAGTGATTCCCACTTAGGTACAACATTTAGTGCACAAACATTGGGTGATTACAGTATTTTAGTGGTTAGAGCTATTCCTGCGCCATGACATGGGGCATTAGGAGTTCTGTATATGTTTAACCCTTACGCAAACCCACACCATCAACTCTTCCATGAGTCCCCAAGGAATGGTCCTGAGACACACTGAAGTAGCTTTCCCAAGACCCCTGACCAGGCCAGGCTTCAGACTGAAATGTGACCTACACTACAGGCGACCACCCTGTCCACGAGCTCCATGGTGATTTTAATTTGGTGTCTGCCCACATAACGAATTGGAGTGAGAGAGACAGTTGTCTGAGTGTTTCATAAATGCTAAATAGTTTGAGTGTCAACAGTGTTCCCAGGCACTGTACTTGTATGTATGGTTAGTAATGTCCACAGCCAAGTTTGGAATATGCGCATAAGGCCAGTTCTCATCCCCTCTCATGCTGATCCCTTCTGGGCGCTTTGCTCTTGCTCCTCAGAAGGTGACTATAGACCAGGAGCACCTGCGCAGGGCTTGATAGAAATGCAGGCTTCAAGGCCATACATGGTGGTGTGTGCACTATGTGAGTACTACCAGCACTCTAGAGACAGAGACAGGCAGATAGCCGAGGCCAGCCTGGGCTACAGAGCAAGCTCCGGACCAATCTCCAGACCAGCTAGGACTACATAGTGAGTCCCAGTCTGAAGAAAGAGAGAGAGACTGGCTTCAGGCTCCCCAATCACTGATTCTGAATCAACACTTTTAGAAGATTCCTGGCGGATCCTGAGAGGTCCTGAGAAGTGTCGGTCTTGACCAGTCCTTGCCAGTGTAGTGAGAATAGTCACTGGGCATCTGTCTAGTAAATTGTCAGTGTCCCTGGAAAGACTCGGTGTCACAAGGTCTTCTTGGGTTCTTGCCCTCACCCGAATTTTCAGGCTCTCTCTCCTTTCTGACTCTGTTACACAGTAAAGCCTTGCATCGACAACCGCTTGGAGAAATATTCCCAGCAGCCTGACGCAGATTTCCTTTGCGACATTTTCCACCGCAATCATCTTTCCAAGAAAGAACTGTACGCGGCTGTCACGGAGCTTCAGCTCGCTGCGGTGGAGACGGTGAGGGTGGGCGGGGACTCGGCTAAACGCTGAGTTTTTAAGCAGCTGCGGAAATCGTTCTCTCCACCAGAATTACCCGAGTAGCTACAGTCTCACAAAACCAGCAGTAAGCATCCCATAGTGAACGCCGTGGGGGACGCAAAGCTTGGCCTCTCGGTGCTTAAGGGCTTGGCAGGTACTTTGTGTAACAACGTGCTCCAATGAGAGCGCCATGAGTAGGCTCTGGCCAGCACCGTGGCGGATATTGGAACTGACCGGGGAATTTGGAAGCCCATGATCTGGCAAGATAACTTAAGTTTCTCAAGCTTGAGGGATGGAGAGATAGTTCAGTTGGTAAAGTACTGTCTGTGCCTTCATGAGGACCTGATTTAAAAAAAAAAAAAAAAAAAAAAGCCAGGTGAGGTGGCCCAGATGGGTAATGCCAGGGCTGGGGATGTGGAGAAAGGAGGCCGCAGGGGACAGGCAGAGTAGCTAGTCCAGGGAGAGACCCCGCCTCAAAGAATAAGGTAGAGAGTGGTTACGGAAGATGCCTGATGTCAGCCTCCAACCTCCACATGTGTGTACATACATGTGCCCCAACATGAACACACACACGGATGTCTTTCAGTAATAACTCAGACTACCCCCATGGTGACTACCTGTGGCTGATTATATTATAAATAAGATGAGATAAAAATCAGAATACAGTCCTCCAGATCAATAGTACATTTACTGCTTCAAAGTACCAACAAGATGAGCTTGGGGCGGCTTGGTTTTGATTTAAATGCAGCAGCTCGTGTGCAATCCACCAGCTGATTCTCCTAGATTCTCCATGCAGCCGCCTCCCGTTCCTGTCTTAAGCTGTCACTGGTGTGACAGGTACTCAGACTCCTCAAAACCCTACATTCTGTGCCCCTTAAAGCCTCCAGGCAGAAACCTCCCCGGTTGTCGACTTCTTTGCATTTTCCCCTTTCATGGCTTCTGGAAGGAGAAAGGCAGGGTTCCTGTATCAGGAGCACACCCCTGTCTCCCCCTCACTGCAGGGGACTGACAGAAGCAGTAAGCCATCTGATCTCCCTGTGAGATTGAATGGCAGGCCTTTCCACACAGCAACAAGGGCCATGGTTCCTCTGTTTGAAGTGTGAATTCCATGAAAGCTCTGGCCTTGCTTTGTCTACAGCATCATTCCAGGGACACAAAGGAGCACATGGCATATAGAAGGCCGGCAAGGAACGCTTACTGAGCAAATAAAAGAGGTCGAGAACTCTAGAGCGCCTACTATATGCCCCGCCCTTAAAAGACCACTAGGAATGAGAGGCAAGGTCTTGTTCCTTGTAGAACTTAGATGGCAGCGGGGAGGAGGAGGGCTGCGAAGGCACACACACACACACACACACACACACACACACGGCTACTTCAGATAGTGGTATACGCCATGAAGGAACATTTTCTAAGCAAGGGAGTAAGCTGGCCAGGTTAGGCTTTGACAAGTGGACTCCTGGTGGGTGGAGAGCGAATTTGCTAGAGAGGTCAGTTAAGGAGACAGGTGGTGCCAGGACAGGCTGAGCCCTTGAGGTTTCCTTACCCACTTCCCCTGGAATTAAGCTCTGCCGTCTTCCTGAGGGGCCCAGACAGTGTCCCCTGGATGTGGTGAAACTGAACTTACCCAGCCCCACAGAGCCCTATTTGACACTTGTGGTGAGCCGCTCGCTGATATGGTTACACACCTGATCCATTTCCTTTCCAGTCCCCTTTATTCTGAAAGCCACCTTGAGCAGATCAGAGAGGCTCCATTGCCTTTAATGTGGAGGCCCCACCCTCTTCCTGCTCTGTAATAATGCCATCCATGGTTTATTTGCAACCGAAGCCACTGGCCCTCTGACATGAAGAAGCCTGCCTGGGAGGCATGTTCTTCCAAAAATAATAAATACCAGCTGGCTCTGGCCCGTCCTGTGCTCTGCCCATTAGTGTGGGAGTGGGCCACGGTGTCAGTCCCAGCGCCTTGGTGTCTGCAGAAGGAGGACATGACCGCCATGTTTAGGAGACTGTTGGGTTTAAGTCAGCTGAGGAGCTCCACGTGCATCTCACTTCTGCTGGTGACGATGGTGACTGCTCCTTATTACCTCCAGGAAAGACACCAAAGATCCCCTTAAAAGGCCACCAGCCTTTGCCAAAAACAGCCTCTGGTGGCTTCTTAGCATACTCAATTCGATATTAGAATTTATTCCCTGTCCCCCATCCTTTTTTGGCAGGGTATTGCATTCTCAAATGAAGACATTTTGCATGTGGCTAGAACCCTTTTCATGCCCGTGGGTCATTTAGGGTGTAGCCAGAAGAACTTGTGTTAGATTCCAGAAAGGCAACGCCTTGCCTTCAATCACACTGGGAAAATATCTTTAGACAGCCTCTCATTGGCACCACTAGAGTGTTCCTGCCCTTTCTGGACTCAGTTTTACATCAAGTTTTGCCCACTAAATAAGTTTTACTTCAATTTTTATTTTGAGGTCATGCTGGAGTCACGTTTAGGTCTGAAATGAGCCCCAATAGTCCTTAAATTACCCAGCTCTTGTCAGTAGTACGTGCATTTGTTCGCGCTCAAGCAGTTCCGCTGTGGTTCAAAGTGTGACCTTTGGCTCACCTGATGGCGGATTGATTGGCAGACTCTCTAATCTGTTTGTCTTTCAGACAGCCAACAGCTTGATGTGGGTTCTCTACAATCTATCCCGGAATCCCCACGTGCAAGAGAGGCTTCTTCTGGAAATCCAGAGCGTGTTGCCTGGGAACCAGACGCCCTGGGCGGAAGATGTGAGGAATATGCCCTACTTAAAGGCCTGTCTAAAAGAGTCCATGAGGTAAGGACAGGCCTCTGAGTCAATACTTGAGAAAGGATCTCTCTTGCTTTGGGCAATACATTATGTCACTAGAAAAGAATTCTCTTAGAACATAATAGTGACACCTCTAGATGGCTCTTCTCAAGATACCTCCCCTGGCTGATTATAGGCATCTATCGAGCTAGAGAGAAGGGCCTCGGTTCATATTCATCACTTTCCAGACCTCAGGGGCCAGCTCTACAGCCTGCCTGTGATGGACGCTGTCAGTAGGAGGGAGCCAGCTGTGGCTGTAGGGTTGGAGATGTAGGTGGAGCAAGAAGACAGAGACAGACCTCTTTGTCTTCTAGCCTCTAGCTCTTCCTGGAAAGCAAACTTCCAGCTTTCGGATCAGAAGGAAACAGCACCACCTTTGTGGAGAACAGAATAGAAGGGATGCAGGCTTTGGGTGAGACATGAGATGCACACAGATTGAATGGAACAGAATAATCGATGAGCCACTAGCCAGCCTTGTAGAAGGGAACAGAATAATGGATGAGCCACTAGCCAGCCTTGTAGAAGGGAACAGAATAGTGGATGAGCCACTAGCCAGCCTTGTAAAAGGGATTTAACTAACGTGATAAGAAAGAAGAGGCAAACATATTGAAAATGAGGGATTTGGTTTTTTTTATAAAAACTGAATTCTTTGTGGACTCATACACTGTATCTTGATCATATTCACCCCTGCCCCAACTCCACGCAGATCCTTTGCCTTCCTTCAGTTCCCCAGCAGCTGTCAGTGGCCAATAGCCCCTCAGGGTAAGAGACAGGGTTTCGTTCTCACCCTGACTGGACTTTGACAGCGCCTCCACTTCTCATTCTGTCTCTGTTCCTAATGCCACATCAGAGAGTGGTCTGTGGCCACCTTTACAGCTCCGGTTGTGATTTTTCAGGCTTACCCCAAGTGTGCCGTTTACAACTCGGACTCTCGACAAGCCGACGGTTCTGGGTGAATACACTTTGCCCAAAGGAGTGAGTATATTTACATATCTGTTCCTTAGCAAAACTTGACAAGGTTACATTTCCCAAGTGTTTATCCCATCTTCCTGAAACTTTTCACCAGGAGAGCATTCATTCTGGAGACCATAGAAAGATTCACCCTCCTCTTCATCCGGAAAATGGAGAGAGAGGAGGTGATCATGAGCATGAAACCCAAACATGAGGAGCTCTGGGACTGGGGAGGGGTTTCAGTAGGTCAGATTATGCTGTACATGTGTGAGGACCTGGGTTTGAATCCCCAATACCTGTGTAGAAAATCAGATGTGGTTGTTTGGGTCAGCATCGTGCAGGGCAGGCAGAGGTTCAGTGGGCCTTGCTGACTGCCGGCTTAAATCGAGGTTCATGGAGAAACCCTGTCTCAAAGGACTAAGGTGAAGTGTGATGGAGGATGTCAGGTACCCTCCTCTTGCCTCTGCGTGTGCACATGGGTACATGTGCTACCCCGCACATATACACATATATCATACTCTCATTAACATATGTCAAGGAATACAACCATCATTATTGTGTTTCTGTCGATTATTTTTGCTTCTGATTTTTGAAAGTATCATCTCTTTCTGTGTGTTTTTTAGACAGTGTTAATGCTAAATACCCAGGTGCTGGGCTCCAGTGAGGACAACTTTGAAGATTCCAAACAGTTTAAACCTGAACGCTGGCTTCAAAAGGAGAAAAAGATCAATCCCTTTGCCCACCTCCCATTTGGCCTTGGGAAGAGGATGTGCATCGGGCGTCGACTGGCTGAGCTGCAGCTCCACTTGGCTCTTTGCTGGGTAAAAGTTCACTGGGTTTCTGGAACCACATTCTGGGCTATTCCACAAGGCATGGAGAGAGAGAGTTAATTCTGCTTTCATCTCAATGTGTGTTACAGATCATCCAAAAATATAAGATTGTGGCTACAGACAATGAACCTGTCGAGATGCTGCATCTCGGCATCCTGGTACCCAACCGGGAACTGCCCATTGCATTCTGTCCACGGTAGGATGCTAAGGTGAGTGTCTGGGTCCCTGATGCCCTCGGGTGCCTTACCTGGCCAGGAGTGAGGCTAGCTTGAAGATATCTAGACTTATCTTTATTTCTTCCTACCTCCCCCCTCTTTCTCCTCCTTTATTCCTTTTTTATTTTGATTGTGTGCGTTTGCATGCCACAGGAGTGTGGATACCCACTTAAGTCAGAAGAGGGCATCAGATGCCCTGGATCTGGAGTTACAAGTGACTGTGAGCTGCCCAGCCGACATGGGTGCTGGGAGCCCAGTTCAGGTCCTCTGCAAGTGCAACAAGTGTCCTTGGCCATGAAGCCATCTCACTAGCCCCATGTACTAGTTCTTTTTTAAACTACTGAACTGTTTTCTTTCTTTTAACTTGGGCCTGAGTATGTCACTGAAGCCCTATGCTAAGAAATCGCTTCTGCAGTAAACCCCGAGCTTTGCCAGTCTGGTTGGTCTCCTCGTGTACATTACAATGAGCTCAAAACCAGTAGTGTGGCCAGAAGTGAAGATGGAGACACTTTGTTGTCTGATGTGGATGGTGATATCTCAGCCTGTGGCCTGACAGGCGCATGTTCATGCTTGAAGCCAGCCTCTCTCGCTCTGTCTTGGACAATGTGATTAAGGTCAAGAGAGGAAGCCATGGTGGTGGGTGGATTATTTAGAGTAACACAGTTATTGTTGGAGCTTCTGAATGAGGTCCCAAGAAATACAGAAATACTTCCATGGTGTCTGCAAGTGACAGAAAACATGTCAAACTCTGAGAGGCCACAAGAAGTGGTGGTGCGGAAGGAGTGTTAATTACAGGCCCCGGGCATCAGCAAGGCCGGAGGGCACATTCCACTCAGTCAGCTACACTTTTGGCAGATACATGTGGTAATTTTAGTTTTAGTTTTTTGTTTTCGGATGATTGAAGTATCCTGTGTGACCTATGATGGGTGTCTACTTGATTTTCCAGATTTTTTTTTCCACCGAGATCAAGACCAGCAATCTTTCCCTTTCTGCAAAAACGGTGCTTATGGCTTCGGTGTTCCTAGATGGCAAACGTCAAGAACCTGATCATGGGACAGTCTGCCATGGATGGAGCACAGTGCCTTCTGTAGAACTATTCTAGAAGCTATTGTCTACTCAATGATGTTTACAGAGACCCATCAGCTCAGGGAAGCCCATGAAGTGTGGGCATGCCAGCCCTACCCCCAGACTGCACCACTGGTTTACATCAGCCAATCACAACCCTCCTCCCTTCTGTGGACTTGATCAAGAACCTGCTGCCCATCCCTCTTCTGTGATATCACTAGGAGGCCAACAGTCAGCCATTCTAGCAAAGGTTGCTAAGCGTTTCTGCTCTCAAGCCCAAAGAAGCATCCTTAATTCTCATTTCCAGTTTACAAAGAAAGTCCTGTTATGGCTTAATTGTCTGGGGATCTGAGATGGTCTGACAGCCCATTTATTATAACTCTGTTTCTGCCAGATTACAGACTGAATATTTTGAGAAATTCTTTAGTGAAGCCAGCTCCTTGTTTGAGAATGCCTTGCTCATGCAGGGGACTGTGTAACTTTTATGTCATCGGTACCCTTTCCTCCGCGGTCTTGGAGTGTGGATGAATGAAATCAGCAGTTTCTAAGCTGTGCATGTGCTGACACGTGTGTGTGAGTGTGCATGTATGTTTGACTGTGAGCTCTAGGCTTCAGTCTGCTTTCACAGAGATGACACAGGGTACCCAATTTAGGGTACCCACAGTGCGGGGCTGTGTCCTGAGATTTAGTCACCGCTCAAAGGTACTCATTAAAACTCTAAGAATGGGGCTTTCCGTGCCTTAATTTCTTTGTCTATTCAAAGTGATAACGGTAATAGATGTGTACTTCGAGACTACCTGTGCGGCTTATGTAGTGTGACTTGAGGCCCCCAGGAAAGCATGATGTCATCAGCGCAAAATGTGGAATTATGCACGGCTCACAAACTTAGACATGTTTATGCGTGACTTGTGCATTTTCTAACCAGCACTGTTTTCTATAGAAGTTTACTGTTTATGTCTGTATATTTGGTAAAGATTTCCCTTTTAGGTTATGGTTTTAGGATAATTCGGAATATGCATCCATATGTACATTTGAATGAATATGTGTGTACGGCTAGTAGAGGTTTGTCCCTTCTCTCTCTTGTGAGATTATTTTTAGAGTTATCGATCCAGAGACTAAAGATGTAATTCCATGGCAAGAGTGTCCGCCTAGTCTATGTGAGACCTGGGTTCAAGCCCAGGACTGCCAGAAAATAAAAGGTAAAATAAACAAGTACACCCTTGTTGTCAGATTTCGTTTTTATACGTTTGTCTTTCTAAAAATTATTCCATTTACTCATTCATTCATTTATTGGAGGGAACCCCTGCCACATCACACTGGAAAGGTCAAAAGACAACTTAGGGAGTGGTTCTCTCTTTTCAGCATGCATGTGCTCAGGATCAAACCCATCCTCAAGCTTAGCAGCAAGCACCTTTACCACCGAGCCCTTTAGCCAGCCCTTATATTTTATATCTTTGAATTCTTTGAAAGTAAGAATGATTTTTTTTAATTTAAATACCAGAGAGATTTTTTTTTTCTCTCTTTGTTATGCCTCAGACAACTGCTCTTCAAGCATTGAATGTTATTTTAGTAGTAGAAACTGTGTGGTCATTAAGTTCAGATTTTGACAGCCCCTTGCCTGAAAGAGGGCCCCTTAATAACAAAATAAACTCCAGCTTCTGCTCTTCCTGGCTTTTCAAGTCGCTTGTCCATATTTCCTACCACAATGTCAGTGTTTATGTGGTCACCATGACCTGACAAGAGACAGCGTAAGGGAGGTGGACTTATCTGGCTCCCGGTGCAAGGATACAGTCAGTTCATCATGGCAGGGAAGGTATGCAGGCAGGAGCCAGGCTGTGTCTGCTGGGGCAGGAGGAGCAGAAAGCGGCTGGCTCACATCTCTGCAAACCAGAAGGGAGTGGTACCAGGCTACAACCCTTAGAGGTCCTCCAGCTAGATCCCACCAGCGGGGGACCAAGTGTTCAAACACATGAACACCTGGTATTTTACGTTTGTTAATATTTACATTAATATAGTATAACCACCATCGCCATCCTGCCGGCTGTAGCCTCTGCTGTTTCTCCCCTTGACCACGGTTATAGCTCTAGCAACTCACCATCAATTCTTGTCTTCCATATGTGTGTGTCTGTGTGCATGCGTGTGCATGTGCGTGTGCGTGTGTGCATGCGTTTGTGTGTGTGTGTGTGTGTGTGTGCGCGCGCGCGCGCGCGTCTGCCTGCCTCTCCCTGTCTCTCTGTCCTTCTGTCTCTGTCATTCTTGCTCTGCTCTGCCCTCAGGTAATGCAGGCTGGCTTTAGACTTGCTCTGAAGCCAAACTTGAACTATTAATCCTGCCTCCATCTCCTGAGTGCTGGGATTACAGCCACGTACAACCGTGCCCAATTCTTCTCAATCTCAACTCTGTCTCATCCCTACTTTGTGACTGGCTCTCCACTCCTTCAACATAAAGATCCAATTCTGCAAACTGGCCTTCCCTGCCCCCTAAAGCATAGATCTGCCGGCTGGATAGCTTAGCTCAGCCCATGTCAGCTATCACCAGTGCCTCTGGACTCTGACCACACAGCCTTCTGTCCCTCTTTTCCAGTCCTTCAAAACTGCCCTCTTCAGATCATGCAGACATATGATGGGGATGTACTCCTAGTCACACTTAGCTCTCACTGTCTCCAGGTCCAATGGGCAAGACCAGCTCAAGAATTGTCTTTAAGGAATATTACAGATGCCAGCCACCGGGAGTGCGGGGAGACCAGAGAAGGCCCAAAGAAGGGAAAAGAGCAGCAGAGGGTCAAACTGGAGCAAGGACAGTGCCTGCTGCCCCTTACCTTTCCATGAGAATGTCTCCTAGAATTTACTCTGATCTAACTGGTTAGAGCCATGACAAGTGTTTCTGAGCTGCTCCTCTGGGTAGAAGAGAGTGATTGGTAGAGAAACTGCCAAGCGGGTGACAGAGGAAAGGTAGGCTGGAATGGCCTTTTAACCAGCTTCAGCCAGGGTCCATCAGTCAGTCCTAGTTGGAGCACAAGGTTGACTGGGAGAGAGGCTCATGCGGATCCAGAAGCCCCAGCGGAAGCAGAGCGGTAGACAGGAGATGGATTCGGCTACACTCCAGCCTCATTTCTGGTGTGCATCTCAAAGTGGGAGCTCCTTGCCCTACCATGTGGTTCCAGGATGCAGGCATGTGTTACTTGCAGAACACATGTGGACCGTTGACCCGACTGGATCACATCATGTCATTTTTGGAGCGGAAACCCCCTCTAACGCTGTTGATGTGAAATCCTAAGCTCCAGGCTCAGCGTGTGAGAGCTACTGTAAGCCTTAGGAGCCATGCCTCTGCCTGCTGATTCCCAAACCCAAATCCCTCATGTTCCTCTGCTCCAGAGAAACACCCTTGAGCTCTGTGGCCTACAAAGTCCAAGCTGGCGTAAGCGGGAAAACTCGGCTTTCAGAAGTGATGGTTACACCTGGGTTTCTGCCACAGAGAAGCCATTCCTTGGTATCCAGGTCCCCGTATTCTCATGAGGCTTAGAAGGACGGGCTTGTATTTTGCTCAGGGCTTGACTCAGAGGAAGAATGGCATCAGAACTCATATTTCTCACTCAAAGATGTGGAAATGAAACACATCCCTTTATAGGGGTAGGGAGTGTCAGACAAAATGTCCTGAGCCCTGGAAGCAAGGAGATGTGGGAATACAAGCATAACCAGTTCTCTCTACAAATAGAGAGTATCTAAGAGACTTGGTGGCAATTATAACCTTAACTCTCCTGGAAAATTATCAAGACAATAGATAATCTCCATTTTAATCCCAGTGTTCTGGATGAGATTTTATGCCAAATATTAAAAAAAACTAAAAATATGCACATTGAATTTGACATACAATATGTGATTCAGTGATGGGTACTAGCAACATTTTTGAGCCCATCCATCCCTCTGGCTTCCTTAGCTGGCGCTGTCAGAACTGCCCATCAGTGTGAACTTGCTGGAGGAATATATTGTTAAATGGACTGTAATCTGTCACTGGCATTCCATGTAACACTCAGGCTGCCCTTACTTAACCAGTGAATCCCGCTGAGTGTTCAATGTGTTGCATTTTGAGCCTTTCATCACCAGGAACAAGAGGATACCACAATCCATTTTTCTACGTAGCCTGTTCCAGCTCAGGAAGCCTCTCCCTTTAAAAAAAAAAAAAAAATCCAAGTTCATTTCAGCAGAGAATAACTTTCAGACACCAAGACCTGGGTCCTAGGTGTGGTAATCTAGATACTCTGGGCATTTAGTCTTTAGATTTATGACATAGGTTTCCCCTTTGTATGCTGTGAATACAATTGGTTAACTAATAAAGAAAACTGGCTTGGTCTTATAGGGCAAAAGAATAGAGGTAGACAGGGAAAATTAAACAGAATGCTGGAAGAAAGGAGGTGGAGTCAGAGAGAAGCCATGTAGCCCCCGCTGGAGACAGATGCCAGACAGAACTTAGCCAGTAAGCCACTGTCAGGTGGCAATACATAGATTAATGGAGATGGGTTAAATTAATATGTAAGAGTTAGCCAATAAGAAGCTAGAGCTAATGGGCCAGGCAGTGGTTGAAATGATACGGTTTCTGTGTAATTATTTCGGGGCTCTGAGCAGCCAGGAACCAACAAGCAGCCCCTCCTACCACAGATTTAGGTGTGTAGAGAAGGGGGGAGGGGGAGGAAACAGACATCCCAGTAGGGAGGAGGAGGAATAAGAATACAGACAATCAAAGTCTGGTTGAATGGTATGTGTGAAGTTTTTGCATTGTTCTTGTAGCTTCTCTGATATCCTGTCAATATAAAACAACCTCAGATACAATGTGACACGGATCAGTGGTTCCACTAAGGAGGCCAGGGCTGAGTGCAGAGTGGGTGGCTTCACTCTGAATCCCAGGTTCTCCACTGTGGGATGCTGGGCACATGGTTTGAATTTTTTCCACCTTCAAAAACATCACAATGTGCTTGACAGCATTATTGAGAGACTAAACTAAAGATAACATGTCTAGACCCTTGAAGGCTGCCTTTGTCTTCTGAGGAACGACAAGTGTCTGTCTGCTCTTTGCTGGTCTGTTGAGTTGACTGGTTTATCCCTGCGTTAAAGTGTAACAGCTCAAAGACAGGATGAATCTTTGCATGCTTCTGGCTTTCACAGAAATCCGATCCAGTCTGCATGACTCAAAAACCCCGAGGCAAACCACAAGTGGGGATGCCTGCCTGTAATGCCAGCATTCAGGAGGTAGCTGCAGGAGGATCGAGAACTCAAGGTCATCCCCAACTATGCAGGGAGTTTAGGCTAGCCTGCGTACATCAGATCCTGTCTCAAAAGAAAAACAAACAAACAAAAAAAGCCTGCACGCCACTGATGATCACCAGAGCCCTGCACAGATGAGGCATAAGCATCTGGCCTTGGCTCAGCCTTCTCTCTAGGTCGCCTGCCATGGCTGGCTTCAGATACCTGCAGACTGTTTCCCCGGATGTTTCTATTCTCTATGCACTTCACCAACAAACTAAACTGTCCTAATATCCAGTGTGATGTCTAGCGTGATCAGTTTGGCAGAACCCAGAATCACCTGAGAGATGGGCCCCCAGGTCGGCCTGTGAGGAATATGTTGATTCACTAATTGTGGTGAGAAGACCCACCATTTGAGGTGGCACCATTTTCTGGGTGGGATCCTGGACTGTAAAATGGGGAAAAGGAAACAAGCCATGGCATGCACCCACTGTCCTCTTCTGCTGTAGATCACGTTGACTAGCTGCTTCGAGCTCCTGGAGCCTTGAACTCTAAGTCAGAATAAACCCTTTCCCCCTTATTTTTGTCAAAGTGTTTCACTGCAGGAGTGGGAATAGAGGCTAAAACATCTGAATAAGGTAACTGATATTTGTTAAGCATTTTCTAAGCATTCTAGAAGCTTCCGTTACCTTGCCTCAACTAATCCTCATGGAGCCTCTCCAAGAAGCTGGGAGTCTGCTTCCTGTGTTAACAGCGTGGAGAAGTTAAACTTCTTGCTCAGAGAGCCACAGTGAGCAGGAAACCTTGGGTTCACACTGAGGCTCCACAGCCCTTGCTCATTATCCCCTACTCTGTGGCCCTTGAAGTACCTAACTAGGTCAATGAGCCTATCGGCAGGTATCGGGAATAAACTGACCGCTAAAAGCCAAGACTCTGATTCTGAGATTCAAGCTAAAGTGTTACTTGTCTCTA